AATATTCAAAGGCGATGAAAAATGTGAAGTAAGCAGCGAGGTACTCCATGCACATGAGCAAACTGTGATCCCATCTAATTCCTGCCAATCTGGAGCTTTCGGAACTTCTGCTTCGATTCGCTTCTCGAATTCTTCCGGACTCTCCATTTCGTATAGCGTCGTTGTTGTGACAGTTTCCGTTACGATCGGATATTCCTCACGTTCAAATGCGGTGACGGGTGGATATTCTTCAAGTTCAGCTGTTGATATGGGAGACTCTGGAGCCTTCTTCAGTTCTGCTTCAATTTCTTTTCCTAATTCCTCAGACCTCTCCTGCTCGAAGTGCGGGACTGTGCCATCCTTTTCAGTTACAGTTTGGTATTTTTCCTGCTCCAGAACGCTTACCGGTGATTCTTCTGGTTTCTTTGTAATTTCGTAATGTATTGTGGTTGTCACAGTTTCGGTTACAGGTGGATATTCTTCTTGTGCTTCCGCTCGAGGAGGGTAGTACACTGTCTTCTGACTCTCGTCTTCCTTGTGGCGCGCGATATCGTCCACACTTTCCCTTATCCCGTAACGAGCGGTAGTAATTGTGGTTTCTTCAGCGTCTGGGTATTCTTCATATACACCGCGATTCTCCGGGAAGTCGGCTTGTCTTGGAACATCACCATGTTCCCAACCTTGGCGTTGTTCCATGCTCGTTGTCTTTGTTTCTGTTACTGGTGCTGGGAAAATTTCTTCATCCGCTGGTTTCTCAGTTGTCACTCTTGTTGCGAGTGATGTGAGAGGTTCCTGGCAAGGAGCCTCAGGTATTTCTATCAAACGTGTTGTAGTGACTGTGGTGACAGTTTTCGTCACCGCTGGAATTTCCTCTATAAGTTCGCTCACTTCTTCTGGTTGTAAATCACTTGGCTTCACCTCATCTTCTACCTTCGTTGCCGCGTCAGGCAGTTCCACATAACGAGTGGTTGTTATTGTGGTCACGGTTTTCTTCACTGTACGATATTCTTGATCCTCTGAGGGCAAATCAGACTCTTGGGCCTTCGTAGCAGACGCGTCAGTAGAAAGAGGATACTCTTCTGCTACAGGTACTGTTTCATCAGTTCGCTTTTCATAAGCTCTTCCGGCTTCCATGACAGCTATATCCTCTGTAGGTATTGCAAATGGCTCGTCGCTTGGCTTCGCCTCTCGTCGTGAGCTTACCACACCAAAAATATCTTGAGGAGATTCGGACCGCTCTTCTAACTGCACTATCTCTTCTATGGTTGTTTCGATGAAAGTCCTTGGCTGCTCATCAAAAACTGTAACAGCTTCTCTGGCTAAAGTTACCTCATCTGTGGGAGATTTTTCAACTTCTTCGCTAATTGCCCTTTTCGCTCGCCTCTCTGTTTCTTCCTGCGATCTTATTATGAAATCCTCACCATTGTATGACGGCGAACTTTTGACCTCTGCCTGCGATACCTCAGATTCTATGGAGGGGCTAAGAGGTTCCTGGGCGATGTCTTCGTGGTCTGATTCCAATTCAGGTACCGGCGTTCCTGGTGTGACAACAATATCAACAGAGAGTTTATCCGGCGACGTTTTCTTTGCTTTTCCATCTTGCAGTGACTCAAACCGTGCTATCCTCTCTCGAACCGAACCATACGTATCTTTCGGCGATCCTAAACAAAAACTTTTTTATAATTCAAATCAAAATGTGATTGTGATCACTTCCTCATTCGAGAAGTTCAAAGTAGTTTCATGGTTGATGATGAACCCCTCGCTGTACCATTTCATCTGTGAGCACAAGTTCAACGCTGCACGTAATCATTGGCTCAACTTCAAAACGGAAGGTTGAGAACCGTCGTCGTCATCGCGATAAGGGTAAAAGCGCAAGTGGTTGGAGAAAAAGTATGGAAAATATTCGGTATTCGACCATTTCGGGATGATAGGTCTTGTCAACAAAGGATAAAGTGGTTCCAGAACATAATCATTGATCCTTTGATAAATTTCCATCGACTCGGTGTTTGTATACACAGCTTTCTATGGACCCAATCCCTGCCCTCCCCCTCCGCCCCCAATCTCCCGTCCCGTTCCTGCGTCTCCTCGCCCCCTTCAACAGTTTTCATAAGTTGGAGGATAGAAACGGGGGTTTGGAATTAAAATGAGCGTTTAGGCGTGTCAGTAGGAAGTTCTTCAAGTTCTTTTCGCTAAATATTGTTCGTGTTGCATCGCGAATTCCTCCCATGACTTTTTCGTGGCCAAATGGCAACGCTCTGAATAGATTGGCATACCAAACGACACTGCTGTAAATCGATCAATATTTGTATGAATCATGGTGTCAAAAGAAACCAGCCAAAGTTCCATCATCAACCTGAGATATAGTGTAGTGAACTGAGTTAAGACGAACATGCAGTGCTCAAACAGAAGCTTCATGCAAGTATTAGTAGTGCACCTATGATGTCAATCGGTTCCATGTTCTATCTTAGCAATACTGAAGATGAAGGACAGGTACTGGCTCTTCAACTCATCAAAATGGCTCAAGTCCTATTTTCTTAGCATAATTCTTACCCACTCCATTAAAAAATATTCAAAGGCGATGAAAAATGTGAAGTAAGCAGCGAGGTACTCCATGCACATGAGCAAACTGTGATCCCATCTAATTCCTGCCAACTTCAAAAGCTATGCTAGACATTGATATAACCTAGACTGGTCCACCACAGATCCTATAGCTTGATTCATAGCAGCGAAGATATAGATGGATTCATGTATCAGGATGTGCCGTAGAACTGGTACGTATCCCAAAATCTTCTCTAGAAAAACGGCAGCACAGTGGAAGGGAATACCGCAGCAGCGGAACATATGTCCCAAAATTATCCCCAGCCCGGGCACGTTTCTCATTCCACCGAGATCTGTCTGTTGTTCTTAGGCCTACCAAGAAACAGTGAAGGTAACTCGAACACCTACAAATAATTGGTTAATATTCCGATCGAGCTGTTCAAATATCCCATGTGTGGTAAAACTCCTGAAGAATTGCGAATTCCGCTTGTTTCTTTTTTGATTTTTTGAACCCCTCAAAAATGGTACGTTCCCATTGAACTGTAACCACATCGGACCTCCAGGCCAATGCAAGCGAGTAATCGATATTGNAGAAACAGTGAAGGTAACTCGAACACCTACAAATAATTGGTTAATATTCCGATCGAGCTGTTCAAATATTCCATATGTGGTAAAACCCCTGAAGAATTGCGAATTCCGCTTGTTTCTGTTTTGATTTTTTGAACCCCTCAAAAATGGTACGTTCCCATTGAACTGTAACCACATCGGACCTCCAGGTCAATGCAAGCGAGTAATCGATATTGGCCCTGTAATTGGCCTTTTGGATTGGACCAAAACATCTAGCCGTGACCGACATAATCGGTATCGCGCGACTGATTCATGTATGACTCATGGGGGAGCATCTGGGACTTCCACCTTTCCGGTTGGTCAGACACCTACTTGTCTCCTTCCTGGCCTTGACTCTTTTTACATTAAGGTAGTGTTTTTTTAGAATCAAATTGGCCGTCTTACTGGTTGCATCCAATTACTCGGGGTTTTCTAGTAGAAAGTATAATTTTAAGCCTCCCAAACAGGTAATGAACTTCTCTTAAAGGTTAAGGGATTATGCGGTAAAAATTAGGAAATGAACGGCGACGAGACTCTTTTCGAAGGTTCTACCTTTCTTGGACAACAGCCTGCCTATACGCCTAAACATAGAGCAACCAAAAGGGGAAGGAAACAGGCCGCAAAGTATTGCGTTTTCAAGCGTTTTCCCTTGGGATGGAGTTCAGGGACGGAATGGGTCTTATGGTTGGGTGGAGCTTCATTTTCAAAGTTTAGCCTAGTCTGTTACGAGAACAATTCAGTAACATTCTTCCGTATGCGACTTGAAGGGGATTGATGGGCCAGGCTACTGTACTTCACACTTTTGCTAATCACGTTGTAAAGAAGAGTGGTGACATGCCTTTCGACGCCCAGGACTCGGGGAAGCGACAAGAGCAAAATCGTCATGAAATCCCCATTGGTGGAACTGCGGGAACTAGTGGTACCATTTTGGAGTATTACAATTACTGATGTCCGAGTGAAATAGCTTCCAGAGAAGTGAAGCTACTTCACATTCTCATTTCGCCTTCCTTTTCGAGGGAATACGCTCCGCCCCAGACCTTGAGCATTAATTTTTGTGACTTTTTTCTACAAAATTTTGAAAATTTCCATTTATTACGTACTTGTTGCCACTACCACCACATACAACATCTCTTGCATCACGTACTACTACATTCATTTCCGATTTATTCAACACAACAAGATTACGTATGCAACGCAATATGTGCGTGTATATATTGGTATCCAATCTGGAGACTAGACTGATGTAGAAGAATAAGCAAGACTGAAATATCTGAAAAGCTAGCTCTAGCTGAAAAAAAGGAGTAAAAAGCAGCATTTCGAAGCTAGAAAGTGTTGTTGTTGTTGTTGCTGTTGATGATGATGAAAGTTGTGTGTGTCGATCTGCTAGCAGTTGGTTGATGGCGAGTTGTGTCGATATTGACGACGACGAGTATGTGTTGGCAGGATCATATGACGGCCTCTTTTTATACTTTGTAACGTACAACATATAGCTATTATAGAAAGAAAGGAAGAAAGGAAAAAAATCCACTTGCATGAGCCATAACACAGGAGGTGCACCATCATTTTCTAGGCATGCCCTATGAAGCAGTACATGAAAGGTGAAATGTGTACCTGCTTACGTGCGTGTACACTTGAGGGCGTGCAATTTTTTTGGTATAGTTGAATGGTTAGAAGCGTAAAATTATGAAAACTCGAAATTCAGCAACATATTGTAAGTGCGAAATGTGCTGGAAAACTTTTTTGCTGAATTTTGAGTATTCCATATAGAAAGGAACTGAATAACTAAAAACAAAAAAGCAGAAGCAAATGTAGCACAAGACTCCACAGTGCGATACGAATCAGTGGATATGGGGCGTCAGCCTCGTCACTCACCAGGAGCCTGTTCGCCTTCACCTGAAATATGACCATATTAAGTTGATAACTAGTCGCTTCTAAATCATTTTACTCTATATAGTCTATAATATCTATTTATTGAATGTTATTAGTAAATTGAGCATTAGGTTTATTTTTATGCGGAGACGGAGGTGGTGTAGTGGGCAGTAGCACATTATTATGCTCACAGATCCGGGGATTGAATCTCAGATCGGTACTCGCGCAGGCCAATCAAGCCTTCCATCTCTACGGGGTGAGTCAATTGCTACCACACTCGTCTGGAACTGACTTGTAGATTGGCTGCTCACCGTAAGTCACTGTATAGGACGCAAAGCATTCAAAACATCACTACGATTTCGAATTATGTTGAGTACAGGGTGTATCCCAAAGAGGGTATTGATGTGCACCGAAGACTTCTTCCTTTTTCCTCTCCGGATTTATGCGAAGGACTGATCACTAGAAAATTTTGTTCGAGCATGGACGAGGGTCTAAAAGTTAATCTAGAACTTCTCTACCTATGTCAGCCAAGCCATATGTTTCCCGGTACAAGGTAATTGGCGACCTTCATGCTCGGTTGATTGGTCTTTACAAACGCGAATGACCGTACAGGGCCAACACCGAGAAATGACCCGAGATTTCATATGGAATTCAGCTGAAGGGCGGATTTTGTTTGGATTGTGAGAAGTGAGGATTGAACTAGTATCTAAACGTAATTGTGCAAGGTATTTAGACCTTTTCGTTAGATTACAACACTGGAAAGCGGAAATAAGAACGAGATTCAGACTTAAAGTAGTCGAGAACAGGTCGGGCACGCTCTTTACCCTCGGTGTTATCCCTGTATGCAGTTTCAACAGCGCTACTCCCAAATACACTGTGCTGAGGTTCTCCCCTTGCAGGACCAAAAGTGTAAAGAACAGCCGGTTCATTCAAAGACTGAAAGAACCAAATTGCTTTCGAAATGTGGCAACCAGATGATGGGCAGAAAATACATTAAAATTCCTCCAGTGTTGTAAACACATGCGTCAGCATTGGGAAGTTCATCCTTCTCCATTCCTTCAGTAACCGGCAAGAGAAAAATTATTCGCTTTGGTAATTGCAAATCTGTTTACTAGCAGGAAACAAGTTCTTCTTGATGGGTAGACCAGGCTCTCGAAGTACCATAAATTTCAAAAATATAGTCAACTGCCTTTGTGAATTTATCCCCAAAGCTATACTGAACTTTTCTCAATGACCTCTATACACTGCCTACGCGCTGTTCGCTCGGTAATAGTTGATGAGCTGCCGATGTGCTGTAATGCTGGGATGTTTTGCCGGACCACTCAACTTACACAAAACGTTTCGATCGATAACATGAATGTACCATATGCTTTATGTTATATAGACGAATGATGCATAATGGGATCTTTGGCCGATGGGAAGGAATTTTGCAAATAAAAACCCCCACTAAAGCTGAAAATTTCGAATAGAAAAAATTTTAAAGTGAGGTAAACAGGTTTCTGCTGCAAAATGTGAGTTGAGAGGCAAGTCGGTGAGCCCACGCAGGAATTTTTTATCGAAAGAACGAATGGGAATCGATTTTATGTTTTTCCTTGGGATCAAATTTTTCAAAAAAACTATAAAAGCCTTAGAGATAGGTGCTGACTAACCAGGAACTGTAGTCTTAGTTGTAGTGACTACACGAGTCATTTTCTTCGAGACAACAATCGAACCATCCTCGTTTGTAAAGCCTTCTTCAGCTGTTTCCTTCTTCTGGGTCGTTCCTAAAAACAGTTCATATAGAGGGAACCCGTAGTGCACTATGAGAGAACCGCACTGGCATTGGACTCCAATACAAACAAAACTTGAGCGGTTGTAATCAAACAAAATCTCTCAAAATCATAGGAAATAGCAGTTGCACGCTGAAAACCTTACCGGTTTCAGGAGTTGCTCCCGGTACAGCAGTTGCTGAAAAGTAAAAACTATAAGTTTTAAAAGAGTAGTAAGGATTCAAAGTTTGTTTGAAAATCATTATAGGTGCTTGTTCTGTTTCACAATTCTCGATTTAGAACCATTAAATTTAGGAACAAGCTTTGGTTTTGAATAGGTTGTTTACAAATGAACATGCTAGCCCTTGGGAAATGGATGGTTAGATCAATCAATAAATTTAAAGCGAACTTAGGCTGCTCAACATCTGCTGATGAAGCTCACGAATCTTCTCCGGCTCCAATCCGACCATTCCTGGTGTTTCCGTCTCATAGACAGTCTTCGTCGTAGTTGTATGTCTACTTTGATTCACTCTGATCTGTACATCACGATCAGTTCCTGCTGCGGCAAGTGCTCTTGCGACGGCATCAACGACCTGCGGATCGGCTGGCGTTACAGCTCCAGCTTGCCTTAGTTCTTCTTCCAACTCTTTTAGTCGATTGACAGCGTCGTTATAGCGATCTGGTGCAGCCATTTTAAGGTCCTGAAGTGTCAGCAGCAACTCAGAGAGTACAACTTCAGCGGCGCCAACTTCTGATCCAGCGTCCCTCGTTTCAGATGCAGGAACCTGTGCTCCTTCTTCGTACTCTTCTGCTTCCAAAAGCGGTGCGGCACTTCCCGGATGGAAGAAACCGATTTGTGGAGTGCCCTTGGGATCGAGATCTTGTAGAGCAGCGGCAAGAGAGGCGCTCCGGTTGCGTTCAAACTGCGCACTGCTCGCGATGGGCGTGTTCTCATCGTGAGGTGCAGTTTCTTCTTCGCCACTTGGATAGGCGACCGTAGTTGATATCACAGTGTCGTCCGCATGATGTGGCTCCGCTTCTGCGTGTTCTCCACTCCATTGCTCCGCTTCGAATCTACTAGAGGATGACACATGATGAATTTGTGCAGAAGTGATGCCATTCCTGACGGCTGTTAGTCCGAGGCAGATGGTCTCGCCGTCTTCAGTAACGCCGGCAACGACTGGTTCCCAGGTGGACATACTGGATATGTGACTTCACTAGTCGTTGTGCGCCAGCAGCATCGAAACAGCTGACACACCCTCTCGCCTCCCGTTCAACGAGCACGCGTTTCACGGATAAATCCAACTTGAATGTCAAGCACACAGAGAGGTTTATTAAGCAGGGGCAGCGAAACAGAACAAGCAACCATTAGCGCCTATTGCGCTGTACTAATCACAAACAAGGTATCGGTGCATTAGACAGCAATGCTATGCCTAGATAGTAGTAGTAGTAGTAGTAGTAGTGGTGTAAGGACATACAGTGATGAAGTGTAATTTAAAATATATTATATATTGTTATATATCATCATTGTGTATGTGTATCAAATACAATAACGATTTCATTTCTGAATCGATCATCGGCTACCTTGCACGACGTCCTCGTCCGCTTCGTCCTCCTCAGAAATAGGGGCGGGCGACTCTGCAAAAAAATCAATATCGGTCAATGGAAATGTCGCCCACCCCCAATCAAAAGATCAAAATAAATATTTCCACTAACTAATAAGTTGAAGATTTTAGAGTTTCCATTAATGTGGCTCCTATGCAAACTACTTCAACTGGGGACTTCACCCGGTTTTTCCACCTGGCTCCCTGACTAACCTTGGTAGAAGGGTGACCTTACGGGAGTTCCCCTCTCAGCCATAGGTAATACAGTAATTAATGGAGCGCTCCCATACAGTGTCAAAGCGGAATCGAGTTGTCGTCAAGGTTTAGTCATTTGTGCATCTCTATATTCACATGAATGGTTAGTATTGGGTTGGGGCAGAAATCGAAACGAAACCATCCCAAATGTGTAAGTGTGTAAATCAATCAATCAATCAATCGATAGGCAAGCTGTGGTACCAGAGGAGAAATGCGCCTGTTAAGTACTAACTGTTAGGTCACACACATTAACTTTCAGTCAACACATTTGCTAAGGGTTTCATTACAAACAAGAGAGTTTCAGGACAGAGGGTACTTAACTCCAAAGAATTCTTAGTTCATGGGTTTGTGAGTGTTAACGTGCATGAGTATTTTAAAATTGACAAAAAAATACTTACGCGAAGTGTAATGGCTGGTGATTGTAGTCGTAGTGACTACTGTGCCATCAGGTTCCGTGTACTTCTCCGTATCGACTTCTTGAGCCATCCCTTCAGGCAATGGCTCTTCTTGTTCTTCATTTATGTAAGCTTTGTGGCCAGCCAGACGATTCAATTCCTCCCATCTGAAGAAATGATTGCTTTTTTTTCTGGCAAAATAGTCACAAAACTAGATTTCCTCCGAGTAAAACCTACTTTCTACGCTCTTCATCGTTCAATGGGACTGTCCTGTCCACGATGTGTTCATTTACTGCGACATCATCCTCGTATGTTGTGGTGATAGTTCTTTCTTCAACCACTGGACCATCCTCAGTGTCGTGCACGTGACGCTCAGTCCGAACAACTGTTCGTACTTCTGAGACTGTCTCTTCTTCTAGAAAATAAAGTTTGAGGAGAGGGGTTGAGGGATCATTCACCGCTTCAGGAAGGAGCAATCGTTTACCTTCTGGCACTGTGACTTTAGCTCTTTCCGGTTCTTCAACTATCGTTTCTACATGTGCAGCAGTTGGCAGTTTTGGGGTGTATTCATAACCAGCAGAACCGATAGAAATCGCCTGAAATCGCTCGAATAAATTATGAAGAATTCAGCAGAACAACTGTAAGCGGAAGACAATCCTCATGACAAGGCTTCATAAGGTTCATCACGGTTTGCTGTATAATTACGAACAATGGGTCTCTATTCCTATGCTTTGAATCATCGCGCAAAGCCTCTGCCATTGTGTGTCTTTCAAGTTTAGGCTGCTAAATAATGTCTTTTTTTTCAATTTAACAGTGGTGATCCAGACAGGAGTGCAAATTTTGAGGGATGGTTTGCACTAGAGGTCAACATTGAACAATTACGAAGATTGATTATAATTCTTTTCTTCGGACAAAGAAAAATCGCATTAAAGTTGCGATAAAAGACCTAAGGTTTCAGGAATCTACACCGCTCTGCAAGTAATTAAGGTTGGCTCGCCTGTAAAACGATCCACTGTTGGTAGGCGCTGAAGAATGAAGGCGCAGTTTGTCCCATATCAATAAAACCTGTTTTCTATGTTTACTATTTAATTCTATTTGTTATTTGATTCCGACAATTTTTACTTCTCCATGGGCATAGGCAGCACCCTAACATTCACAAAATGCAAAAAATCTTTACAACGCCGGTTCCGCCTTAAACATTGACAACAGGCACAGAATGCTTACCTCTTTAGCTGGGTGCTCGATCATAGCCTCCTCATGTTGGATTGTATGATGGGCAACAACTGCTGGCGAATCAAACGTTCTACAAAATTCTCGTGTAAGCATTACTTATTGCAAATATTCCTACGAATAGTCTGATCTCTACGTACCTTTGGGTGACCACAGGAGGTAAATCGACGTATTTTGGTGGATCGAATCGTTTGCTGGCCGGTGAGTCGCTTCCGTTTCCATAACTGAGTGAGTCTGGTTCGCCGTGTGCGATACTTCGGACAATGTCATCACGTCCAATACGACGTAATGCATTATCTAGGCGCTCAGCTGAAAGTATAGGGTTTACTGTACATATCCAATAGGTTAGAAGGTGTTATGGACAAGAACTCACGGCTGGCTTCTTCCTTCTTCAAATAAATCCATATCTTCAGCACGTTCGTAATTTCCTTGCCCGGATAATGTTGACGTATATATTGAATATCTCTATGTGGAAGTTCGAGGGCGCGTGCTAATCGTTGCCAGTCAGCGCCTACGCCTTTGATAACATTGTTGTGCACATAATCGGGCAATTCCTGAATTACTAACTTTTCAAAAAATGATGAACATCTTGCTGAAAACTCCCAAAATTTAGTAATAGCGAATGCCACCCACCTTATCCAGCACGCCTTTATATTTCACTTCAAATGGTGTTGTATCCTTCTTTACAGTGATTTTTGGGGCCTCACCAGTGTATTCGGGTAAAGAAATGGCAAGAGTACAAATTGGTTGTTGGGGAGGTAGTGATTCAGCACGGACCTGGAAAACGGATATTAATGATACATCGCACTTATTTGATTTAACAAACAGAAATTACCTTGGGTTCAGTCATGAAAGCTATTCTTCCTTCAGTAGCCGCTTCTGTATCATCTTTATTGCGTGTCTATAATGAAACGTATTTTGAACGTTCAGAGGCATTCCCAAGTAGTTTTGTGAGAAAAAGAAGTTTAGATTTAATACCTTAACCATGAACGCAAGCCGATTCTCTTGGAACGGTAAGAAGTACAGGCTTAGCTGATCTCCACTCTTTGTCACTGGTACAAGGTTTCCAGCAAATTCAAGGAATTGATGTTTGCCTTTCAGAACCTGGAGAGGAAANACCTCAACATCACGTGACTTAGCAATCAACTTGAAATGTTCTTGTTTCTCAAGCGTTTTGTCTTCCTTGTCATCAGTCATACAGAAAACTCTGAAAGTAAATGGTTGAAGGGGGATTGCTGGTTAGAAGACTGCTGTTCCACATTAAAAGCTACAGTACCTTAGCTGGCCCTCCACAGGGAACGTTCTCCTCGCAAACACGGCGAACTTCGCCATGTACGGGATGCAAATAGCCTCGTTGTACACTTCTTGAGCCATTCGAGCAGCATCTCGAGGTGTCTGACAGTCCATCAACCAGAATCGAGCAGATACCGTTGTTGTGAATGAGACCTGGAACGATTATGGTCATTCGGGATTGTTATTTCAATATTACAGAAGTATTTCAAGATGTATTCACCTCATCTCCAGTGAACGTGAGTTGGGTCGTGCCTGTGATATCCTCCCACTGCGCAGGAGCCGAACCTCCAGTGATCGAGCAAAGTAGACGAAGTGTTGGTGGCTCTTGACCGGGTTGTCCAGAATATTGTGTGAGCATTCCCTATATTTGGATTTTTTAAATGCAAAAGCTATAAATATACACAATCCTCAATTTACCTTGTTACTACTTTGTGGGAGTGGGATGCAGAGGGTGATAGGCTTGTGGAATTTTCTACGGCGTGGTTCGACAGTGACAATCGGTGACACAGCCACACGGTTGCCATGAAGACGGGTGACCATTTCTTGAGGGACCGGTTGAGCTTGTACTGACACTTTGATCGTCTTCGTCAGCGAACCGTCTGGGAAGATTGCCTGTACCCGAGGTACTACAGATGACATGATTACACCTCCTTCAGGTCCGACGCAGTGAACCTAAACAATGAGATTCATGTTCTCAATATTTAGTTAAGTGCTTGTTTAACTGAGATGAAACAAAAGTTACCTCCTGTCGAACTCTTGTAACAACAGCAAAGTACATGGGGAAATCATTGGTGAGTATACGGGTGATTCTTGGTGTGTGGAGATCATCAAGCTGAGCCAATTCTTCCGCGTCAAACGACTCGTTCAGCACCTACAATAACCACAACATTATCGAAGACAGAACACGGGAACACATAACTTCCACTTGTTTTCGGAAAGTTCACAACCTAGTGTGGCATGCATGAATCACCTCCTGTACTGCGTCCTCGGTCGCTTCAAGCTGGTGCTCTTTCCAGTGTTGGCCGTCATCAGAACGTAGGATGACTATTTCACGTTCGCGATCTCGAAGAGATGCGAAATGTGGCACCTCTAAGATGACAGGTCCGAGGAATTTGGCACCAGCTGGTGCCATCTCGAGGATTCTAGACGCCAGTTCTTCGCCTTCACTGAGAGGCGGTGGATGGGCTAATTTATCCTATAAAAACTTGAACTTCCTTTCTGGAAACAGCAGAAAGTATTGATTCGCCTCCTACCTTCCTAAGATAGCGGCAAGTGACC